TAACTATGGGGACAAAGAGAGAGGGGAGCTGTTGCATTGCAGGAAATTGCAGTCAATGTCATGAGACAAAATGTATATGAGCTGCTGTATGGAAAGTGAATTTGCTCTATAAACTTTCACCCAAATCACAATAAAAATTATTAAAAAAAAAAAGAGTTCAGGGCTTTGTACTCATGATCCAAATGCGAAGACGAGTTAGTATTCCAGAGGAATGAGGCCAAGTCCTGGCTTGGCTCTTAAGGACTTGTGAAAATACGTAGTGTCCAGACCAGTGCTTGAGCCAGGCGGGTTGTAGTTCACAGCAGGAGACACTGACATAGGACTTAGTGTATGCCAGACACTATACTGGCTTCTTTACATGAATTAACTCACTGAATCCTCACAGCAACCCCAAGTGGTAGGTATTATTATCCCCAATTCACAGATGAGGAAACAGGTTCAGAAGGGTGAAGTGATTTGCCTGAAGCCTCACAGCTAGTTAGTGGTCAAGGTGGGATTTAAAGTCAGGAGAGACGGTCCAGTGTACTCGGTAACCACGGCCCGCAGAAGGCTTTCACCTGTGGCGGGCGGACTCCAGAATGTAAGCGAGGGGAATGTGAGATTTCAATGTAAAGAAAAATGTGGTACAACGGGGTCACAAGCCAAGAACTGCAGGACACAGGCAGGGAGCATGCCTGAATGAAGCAGCCTAACTTAGGGCAATAGGGAGCGGTGGGGACTACGGTGAAGGGGAGCACATTTTAAAAGGCAGCAGCTGCCTCTCTGCTCCAGCCAATTATTACCAGCTAGAACGCAGTGAGGTTCACTTTTCAAAGATATTTGAAAGCTCAGTTTTTAAGTAAAATCTCCTGATTTTTAGATGGTAGCAACCAGATCACATTGTTTAAACATATAGTGAGGACTGAAAACAAAGCCAAAAAAAAAAAAAATCCCAAACAACAAAACTCACATCTTCAGCTCCAGTGGACAATGGGGCTCTCAAAGATGAGTTTAAAGCCCATCAGGACTCCATTCAAGAAGTTCTCCAGGGACCCAGGGGTCTTCTTACTCCCTTACTCCCTTCTTAACAGAAGTGGTTCCCTGTGGAGGGGGTGTTTATGTGGGTATGACTGCACTGAGGCATTATCTATAATAATAAACAGCATCAATAGGAGCTATTTCTCCATTCCTTCTAAGAGGCAGTGTTTCCCAGTGGTTAGAGACTGGACTTCAGTGCCAGCTCCACAAGGGTTCAAATCCTAGCTCCACCACCCAGACCATCTGGGCAAGTTATTAAGATAGCACCCTGTGCTGCAGCTCCCCATCTGTAAAATGAGGGTAATAGTAACTTCCCCCATATTTATGCTCACTTTCCTTTTTTTTTTTTTTAAATAAAGTTTTATTGTGATTTGGGTGATAGTTAACACAGCAAAGTCATTTTCCACACAGCACTTCATACACATTTTGTTTAATGGCATTAACTGCAATTCGCCACAATGTAGCAGCTCTCTTCCCACTTCCTCCCCAGAGTTACCTCTTCCCTGTGACCTTCCTTCCCAGTACTCCCCACACCATCCCCCAGCTATCTCCCTACGCAAACACCGCCCTTCTGTCCCCCCACAATTAATTGATTGATCCCTCCAAGAAGTGTATCTATCTGATATAATTGTTCACCCAATAAGCCTGTCTGTTGTTTTGCTGGAAGCCACATGAGTGAGTTCAGTTCCAGACCTGAAGGGTGCACGTTCCTTTCGAGAAACCTTTTCCTCCATGTTATCAATAAAAACAGAAAGTTTCCCATTGTTAAAAGACCACAGAGAAAGTCAAATGCAAAGCCTTTGTGTGTGTTCTGTGTGGGCGAGACAGAGGGAGCGAGAGAAAGAAAATAGCCCTTAGAGAATGAGATCGATTCTCTCTTTCCATTAAAACCCAGTAACAAGAAAGCCAGTTTCTCAGAACCCTCTGAAACAAAATTTCCCAGCCCTAGCTTTTTGGAGGAATTAAATGGTGATATGGAACCATTAAAAAAGAACTTCCAAACTCTGGGTTGCACAGAAAGAACCTAGAGATTTAAAAGAAGTTGATATCCAAGCCCCACTCCAACTGGCTCAGTGGTAAGTGAGGCCCAATTCAACTCCTTCCCCTCCCTGCTCCCACCATGGGGATTCAGACACAGGAGATTCAGATACAGGCGATTCACCCAGTTCACCTGGCAAAACCCCGGTACATCTCCTTCCCCCAGGGTCCAAAAGGAAGAACACACCAATGGTGACTGTTCACAGAGTGGTCAGTTTTCATTTACATCAGCAGGCTCATCATCCTAACTCGTTAAATCCAACTCAATGCCAAGGAGGGGAGTAAGGTTACCTCCAGGGCAGATGTACCCACAGGGAGGCTCTTTGGTAACCGTCTGAAAAGCAGCAAGGACTTCCACCGAAGGGCTGGAAAAACCTGATTTTAACAGAGGCCAAGACTCAAGAGGGTGACACAAAAAGCCTTGAATATGTGAGTTTTCTGATTTCGAGGCACTTGAAAAGACTGTCGGGATTAGCTGATTGCCTTTGGAAATTTCTGAAGTTCTGCCTTTTAAAAAGGTATTCTTTATCCTTATTAGGAAAACTGTAACCAACCTCTTCTCCCTCAAATGGTAAAAATCCCAAGTATTCTTGGAATAGTCTTGATTCATGATAGCCTTACACCCAAGTTCATACAAGAGTCTCATCATCCTACCTCTATAGGCTATATAGGTAAGCCACATGAGAGATGGGACAAAGAAAGATGAGGTAACATGACAACAGATATTCAAGAGCTCTGGGTAGAATGCACACTGACCAAGGAGACGCCTCTGGTCCACGAGGAACCAGACGCTCGTCGTCTCTCAAAGGCAGAAAACTCTGGCCCTCAAGATGCTGGGGAAGGTGAAGGAATGAATCACAGAAACGTTTAAATATCGGAGCAATCTATTTATCAATCCTGCTCATTCAAGCCCCTGCAGGCTTTACTTCCTGCTGGTGCCTTGAGGATTTCAAGTAAGGTTAAGTTATTTTGGTCACCTTTCTCAAAACCTGGGCCTCAGAGCTGCCCACACAGAATCGTCTGAGATATTTGTAAAAATGCAGAGTCCTGGGCCCCACTCAAAACCCACTCACTCACAATCACTGGGACTGGGGCCCTGAAATGTGCATTTTTTACAAATTCCTACCCCCAAACGATAATTCTTAAGTATTCTAAAGTTGCAGAGCCACTGTTCTAGGACGCTCTCTCTCTCTCTCTCTCTCTCTATATATATATATATCTTGCTCTCTCTCTCGCTCTCCCCTTCCCTGGTCTCAAATATCTTTTAATTATATTAGGATTGGCATATATATCACAGTGAGAGATAAGCAAGATGTTGACCTTTTTGCAAAAACAAAAAGGAAACCTGTCCTTTTCCCTGTACTATGTTGGCTGGGTAAAGTTCCCTGAGGATTGTTTTGCAAAGATGTCTTCAGAGAGTTTTTGTGATGAAAAATGGGGAAACATGATCCATTTCTAGAAAGGAAGATGTTTTCCTTTGTTGGCCCCGGTAAGCAGAAGTAGAGACAAGTTAGACCTAAGTCCCCAGCAATAATGGATAGACTTTGCCTTTAAAAGGGATATAAACTACTGGGAAAGTGACAGGGAAAAAAAAAAATCAGAATAAACATATTTAAAAACACTCAACCTCACTGGTAACCAGGGAAACACAAATTAAAGCAACAAGGAGATACTATCTTTCCTCGTTACCAGATTGAAATAATTAAGATGGGTAGTAACAAGCAAAGTTGGCAAGAACGGGATATTACATTATTGAAGGGCAAGAAGAGTACATTGGGACAGTCTTTTGGGATGTCATTTTGGAAGTATTTATTAAATCTTAAGATCCACATAGAAACCCTACACAATGGTTAAGTACTCAGCTGCTAATTGAAAGATCAGTGGTTCAAACCCACCACTGGTTCCATGAGAGAAAAATCCTAGAGAGATCCCAGCCTAGGAAGCCCAAAGGGAACAGTTCTACCCTGTCCCATAGCGTCGTTATAAGTCAGAAGCAACTTGACAGCATTTAACAACAAAATCCATGTACCCAGAAATCCAGCACTTTAACTTCTTCCCATCCATCCTGGATAGGGGTGCACAAAAAAAGGAGGTCAAACAGTTCTCCCGCCCTAGATGCACATTAGAATCACCTGGACTAGCTTTAAAAAATACCAGGTCAGGACCCTCCCTGGACCAATCAAATTAGAATCTCCAGTAACAGGCCAGGCACTAGTGTGCCCTGTGGCTCTCCAGGTGATTCTAATGTACTGCCAGTGTGGTAAACCACAGATGTGACGTCACGGCCACTGCTGCCATCTGAATTAGGAGAAACAGGAGACAGCCTAAATGTCCGTCGGTAGGACAGTGGTTAAGTATGCGGTGATTTGTTCATAGGATAGATACTATACCATCTCAACGCGGAAATGCCTTTCTTACCATGGCTTTCTTACAAGGCCCCAAACCAGGTCAGCCTGATTCAGTCATGGCCAACAAAGCAACACTGTCATGAACCTGAGTGTATAGAATATGGGTGGGTGAACCGGGACACTCACCAGAACAGGCAAAACCATGGTTAGAAGCCCTGCAAGAAACTTAATCTTCCTCTTAGACAATAAGGCCCGCGTGCACACTGCACAGCAACCAAATCTCTTGACTAGCTGCGTCAAAAATAACGGGGCCCTCTAAAAGATGGCATGGACCCCTTCCCAAGGATGGCGCCCCTGCTGGTGCCTGACCATGCTGCACTGCACGTGTGATGCTCCCCACAGCCCTGGCTACGATCCCATGTCATGCACCAAGCTCCTGGAAGGGCTCGCTACACTTCTTTCAAATCTCCCATCCCGGGGGTTTTAACCACAGTTTTTCTCATTCCAGCTAGCATTCCAGATCACCCAAATTTTAAAAATTCGGGTCTGCTCTAGTTTCACCTCTGTCAGCCATGACTGAACTGGTTCAGTCCAGCTCAAGGCCCTGCGTGATCTGGTGACGGCCTCTAGTTCTTCTCCCAGCATCGTCATCCACACTCATTCCACTCTTTTTTCTTTGAGCAACACAAGCATGCTCCTACCTCAGGGCCTTTGCACTTGCTGTTACCACTGCTTAGACCTCTGTTCCTCCTGATCCTGCCATGGTTTACTTCCACCTCTTCAGGTGCTGCATCACACAGTACCCAAGCAGAGAAGCTATCCCTAATCAACCTCTCTCCAATAGCACCCACAGCCCCACCCTTCCTCTTTGCATCTCCTTCCGCTACTTTAGCTTTTCTTCTTAGCACTGAGCCACTGCCATCGTATTGCTTCTGACTCCTAATGACCCTATAGCAGTCTCTGCCAAATCGTATACTTGCATGTTTATGGTCTGTTTCTTCCTCCTGGGCCACCAACTTCAGGAACATTTTCATTCGTCACTACTCATCATAGGGTGCCTACTTAGAAGCTAGACTACTGGAGCTTAAATCCAGGTTCTGCATCTAAGTGGAGTCCCTGGGTGGTGCAAGTGTTTAATGTGCTTGGCTGCTTACTGAAAGGCTGGCAGTTCGAGACCACTGAAAGGTTTCTCAGAGAAAAAGGCCAGGCAAACTACTATCAAACCAGCCTTTGAAAACTTGGTTTTCAAAGAGAGCAGTTCTACTGACACCTGGAGTCATCATGAGTCAGCCTCTTGGCTGTTTCACCTCTTCAGAGCTGTGCACCCTTGGGCAAGTCTTTTAACCAACCTATGCCTGGTTTTCTCATCTATGAAATGGGATAAGTAACAGTATCCACCTCATAGCCTTGTTGTGAGGATGAAATTGAGTGAATATACCTAAGACACTGCCCATTGCAGTCGCCATGTAACTGTTGAGTATTACCCATACCTGCAGCAGTGCCGCACCTTGCAGAATCTATGCAGCATGATCCCATTTATTTATTTTCAAAAGTCACACACACACAAAACGGTATATAATTTCTAAGTGCATATTTATGTATGAAAATGTAAAGAAAAGTGTCTGGAGGACACACACCACGCTAACGGTGCTATTAACCCTCACCAACAAGACTCAGAAGTGCCCGAGAACCATTTGCCACATCCATATCTTGTGGGGGAGCTCTGGTAGCATAGTGCCTAAGGCACTTGCCTGCTTACCAGAAGGCTGGTGGTTCAAACCCACCAGCCACTCCTCGGAAGGAAGGTTGGGCAATCCTACTTCCGTAGTGATACTGCCTCGGAAACCCAAGGAGGGGTCACTATGAGTCCGGGCCGACTCAACGGCAAACAACAACAACAATATCTTGTGGGGTTTTTTCTTGCCTGTGCCCCATGTACACAAACACATCTTTTCCAAATAAAGTTTTCAAACAGGAGTCAGTGTTTTGCGGTCAAAGCACGTAGCTCTGCTGGTCCGTTTCCATCACTTGTTGATCAGAGTAAAATGCCAACCAACCCACCTCGTTGCCATCAGGTGGCTGCCGGCTCATGGCGGCCCACCGGTGCTCTCCATTGAGTATGGCTGTGTCTCGCACCACGCAGCCGCAGTCGTGCTGTCTGTCTGTCTGTCCCACACAGGGCTTGAGGAGCTGCCGTCATTGTCGGCCGTGAGCGCGGAGGATGGACCTCACCTGCACACACCTCCAGAGTTTCTGAGCAGCGAACCCTTGACTTCAGACCTTGAGGTCTTTTCCTCCAGGACTCTCCAGAGGCAGGTCCCTGGCAACTGAACAGAAAGTCCAAAATTGAAGACCTCAGCCAGTCATTGCTCTGTAAACAACCAAGTAGGCAAGCCCAGTGTCTCAGTGGAAGGCAGGCCGCGGCCCGCGCCCGTTCCCCGCTGCTGCACCTCGCTCAGTCGGCAGTCATGGCTACCACATGGCGGCGGACTTCCGGCTGCAGGGACAGGGAGGGTCCCGGGACGAGCCATGAGCGCAGGGGTTTGCAACGTTCCCCTCGAGCAATCGTTGCATGTGTAAAGTTGTCTAAAATAGCTGGGTTTGTGGGTATTTTTATTTTTACATGCTGCCGCTTTACTCCAGTCGTAACTGCTTCTCCCGTCAACACCTACCCACTAGAGTTCTCCCAAGGGTCATCAATGAAGGGGCTTTCTGCCTTTTGTCTGGGCCCTCACTTTCCCTAACAGCACCTTGCTCGTATCCTTGGTTGGTCAACTTGCCTACAACCTCATGCTTCACTCAAGCAGACTGAGAATATATTTAGTGGTCAATTCTAGGCACGCGCACACCGTCCCCATCCCATTTTGGGGAATGCACTGGCTGGGTGTGGAATGTGTGTTTTTGCAAAATTTTATTAACTTTGCAAAGTTCAAGAACGACCTTTGATTTTTCTGGATGCCACCTGGAAGTGCCACCATTGTATTTCTTTTCTGTCGAATGTAAACCCTTCCAGAGCCCATGCCTGGGTTTAAGGATGCCATCATCGTGTCTGCCAGAAGACACTAACCCTTGTTACCAAAAGTGTGAGGTGGTGTGTGTACCACTGGTGGTACACAAGATAATTTTAAGTACTTGACACACACAAAGTGACACCGAATCACAAAGTTTTCCATTTTCTATTTTTTCCAATCCTGATTCCAGTCAGGAGAAAGTCTCTGCTCAGTACTAATAGGTCTTTAACACCTTCCTGACTTTACTGCTCCTCTCCCTTTTCAACAAAGAAAGAGCAGGCCTCAGGTTCAGAGCCTTCTGTCTTAATAAGTTTAATAATGTTGTTTTGTTTGCATTGTATTTATTCTTATTTATGACCTTCCATTTACAGCTTTCTACTTAGGAATGTATTCCTTTTCAAATAAATTTATTTAAGAAAAGAGGACTTAAACAAAAATACTTAAAAGTGACTAACGCCACAGTTTATATGTATAGATGGCAAAACATCAAAGAACGAATGTTAGAAATTGCACCAACTTTTTTTTTTCTTTTTTAAGCAAAAGGTGCTTATTCTAGTCAAATGAACAGGAAGTGGAAATAAGCAAAATGCCTGAAGTCCGGCCCCTGTTTTCCCACTAGCTGCCAGTGCAAGCCGATTTCAGGCGAGGTTCTTAGCCTCTCTGTTTTCCTACTAGCTGCCCAGGCAAGCCGATTTCAGGCGAGGTTCTTAGCCTCTCTGTGCCTGAAAGTTCTTTACCTGGAAAACGGAGACAAGCCTGTTTACTTACCTAGCAGTGTTGTTGTGAGAATTAATTGCCGCCATAATAAAAATGCCCCTGGAGGGAAGCTTTTAAGTTCTGTACAAATGCAAAGCATTGTTCTGAGTTTTATTACAAAGCTCAGGCTTTTGTTAAAATACTGAACCCCAACAAAAACTGGATGTTGAGGGACACCAGATTCTACCTGCCGTTTCACAAGCTGTCTGTCCCGAGCCAGCGCTTGTCCCAGGAGGACATCTGAATCAGGGACACGTATTCTCAGCACACAGAGGTTCTAGACGCAGCCCAGCACATTGGAGCCTGGTTTGTTTCTGACACTGTGGTTTTTGTTTTGTGTTTGGGTTCCTGGCCTTTTACCCAAATGCAATAAAAATGTTGCTGAGAGGCAAAATAAAAATGGTTTTAAGTAAGCCTGTTTACCATGGTGTGTAAATTGTGTTTTCTTGGGGTTCCCCACCCTCCAGAGACTCCCAAAACCAAAATGTGTTGATCCATCCCCAGCTAATGCTATGGGGAAGACCACAGAGAGGACAGGGTGTGGATTAGAGAGGTATCCATTTTGAATTAATTTATGGGTGGAATGTCAAAAAGGTCAAAAACCCTACTATGATCTATTTTTAAATGTTGGTCCCAACAACTCAATGAGTGCATCGAGTCAGATCCAACTCATAGTGACCCGTCCTTGGGTTTCCGAGGAGCTCTGGCAGCATAGTGCCTAAGGCACTAGACTGCTAACCAGAAGGCTGGCGGTTCAAACCCACCAGCCACTCCTCGGAAGGAAGGTTGGGCAATCTACTTCCGTAGTGATACTGCCTCGGAAACCCAAGGAGGGGTCACTATGAGTCAGGTCTGACTCGATGGCAAAGAACAACAACAGCATCACTACGGAAGTAAATTGCCCAACCTTCCTTCCGGGGAGTGCCTGGTGGGTTTGAACCAGAAGGCTTCTGGTTAGCAGTCAAATGCCTTCGGCACTGCACCACCAGAGCTCCTTAAAGAACTGGGCTAGACTTTGAAAATTTAAATATGATCAAGAGAGACCCCTTAGTTCACAGGCTGGTGGGGGAACAGGCAAACAATGAGAAGGAAGCATGAAGGGGCAAAGAGGGAGGCATGGACCAAGTGTTGCATGAGCACAGGGGGGCAGCACAGGCTGTGTGGCGGCAAATACCCCCGTCCTATGGCTTTCAGCAGTGTTACGGCTGATCCCGCTCCAGTTCTTGCAGTTGCCCTTCTTGGCCCACAAGTTATGGGCAGCAGCAGATGCAGACATAAAATCGCTGGCCTCAGCTCCTGGGTCAGCAGATGGCCTTTGGCCTGCACCGGGACAGCTGCATTCAGCAAAATAGCTCAGCGTGTATCTTGATATGTAACCCGAGATACAGGCTTCTAAATACAAGAGACAGCTTTGGGCTGCTGATTACCAAAAAAATAAAAAAATAAAAATAAATTGTAATACAGCATCCATATTCATTTAATATTAATCCTTAATAAATACTAGTAGAGTTGAGCCAGGGGAGCTGCCTTATGAAAGTAGATCCCAGAACCAGGACACTTTGAATTTGGCTTTGACAAATACAAGGGTAATATGAACAGAAAGATGAATACTGACCAAGTGCCATCCATCATTGCTGGAGAAGCCACAAAAAAAGGAATTCTCTTTCCAACTGGGATTTCTGTTCTGGGGGTCAGGGCAAGAGCGGGAGGGACACGGTTGCCTTTGTGTGACACCCCTGCTCCAAAGCGCAGAGAAGCAGCACTGTCACATCGGTGGTGGTCTGCTCACAGCCGTCGGCCCTCTTCCACTCAGCGCAGACTGGCCCAGTTCACGCTCCTACGCAGCTTCACGGAGGGGTCCTGTCATTTGCTTTTTCCAAGCAGCCTCCCTGCACCTCCACCAAATGTCTATTCCTCCGAGTGCCATGGAATCCCTCCGTGGGACCCAGCTGTGCTTCAGAGTGAGAAATAGTCCTGGGAGGAAGTCATGAAGGCCCAGTCCTATCACTACAGAGATAACACGTGGCCTGTGACTAGCACAATGCCACCCTACACCTAGCAGTTATCCCATCAATACTGGATTGTTCAGCCATTGCCAACTCTCACCTAAATTACAATAGCCTTCTTATCAGTCTCCTTGTGTATGTGTTTCTAACAGATGCTGTAAAAATTACCACAAACTTCCAAACTAAACTCACTGACAAGAATCAGTTCTGACTCACAGCAACCCCCATTGCTTTTTCAAGGCTATAAATCTTCACCGATGCAAACTGCCTCATCTTTCTTCTGCAGAATGGCTTACCACTATACCACCAGCGCTCCTTACCACAAACTAAATGACTTAAAATAATCCAAATTTATGCTCTTACAGTTATGGAGGTCAGAAGTCCAAAATGACCTCACTGGGCTAAAATCCAGGTTTCAGAAGGAACCACCTTTCTGGAGGGCCCGGGAAGAATCCATTTGCTGGCCTCTTCCAGCTTCACGTCTCTCCGGGTCAGACTCTTCTGCCTCCCCGTCCCCATTTAAGGGCCCTGTGATTACAATGGACCCACCTAGACACTCAGGCATCATCTCCCTATCTTAACATCAACTCATTACCCACCTTAACTCTATCTGCTGCCTTCATTCCCCTTGGAAATGTGAAAGCATCTCCACAGGTCCCAGGAATTAGAACACGGATATCTTTAAAACCAAACCAAACCCACTGACATGAAGTGGGTCAATTCTGACTCCTATATAGCAATCCCCACTGGGTTTCCAAGGAGGTATATCTTTACAGAAGCAGATGGGCCCGGCTTCCTTCAGCAGAGCAGCTAGGGGGTTTGGACTGTCAACCTTCTGGTTAGCAGCCAAATGCCTTAGGCACTGGACCACCAGAGCTCCTTATGCGTATCTTTGGGGGGGGGGGTCATTATTTTTCCTCCTGCACCTTGCTACCACATGCTTACAGTACACACACAGCAGCCAGCATGATCTCCTAAACAATTAAAATCTCTTAACGCAATTAAAATCCAAACTTTTAACCATGGCCCACTCACTTTACATGATCAGACCCCTGGCTGTCTCACAGATCTGGTCTCCCCTCCCTCACACTACTGCAACCACACTGGCAACGTAGCTGTCCCCAGACATTCCTGGATCATTCCTGCCTCAAGGCTTCTACATTTGCTGTTTCCTTCCCCCACCACCATCTGCCAGATTTTCACATGGCTGGCTTTCCTTATCTCCCAAGTCTCAGCGGACCTAAGCACCCTATCTCAGGTAGCAACCCCACCCCCAGTCACTGCCTGTCACATCACCTTGTTTTAGTTCCTCCAAGCGACTCTCTTGCTTATCTATTTACTTCTTTCAGTAGCCCTGGTGGTACAATGGTGAAGCACAGCTTGGTTACTAACCAAAAAGTTGATGGTTCAAACCCACCAGCTACTTGCCAAGGAAAGATGTGGTAGTCAGCTTCTACAAGAGTTGTTGTTGTTGTTGTTATGTGCCATCGAGTCAGACTCGACTCATAGCAACCCCTCCTTAGGTTTCTGAGGCAGTATCACTATGGAAGTAGATTGC